TAAAATAAAATTTTACATTCACTATAAATAAACCAAATGATGAGATACAAACTTTTTTTTTAATCTTGGACAATTACAACTGTATAAAAATAAATACAATGATTATTTGTATAAATGATATTTAAATAATTCATTTTTCTTTAATTGTCTATGTTTTCTACACTTATAGTTCCACATCAATATCAAATAATTTATCTTCTACCAATTCATTACATATGTCAAGTGATCAAACATTAAGAGATCTTTATTCAAATACACGTGGTTCTGTCACATCTCCACGAAAACTCTATTTTAGACGAGTAAAAAGAAAATAGAATATTGTTTTCTTGTTCTTATTATTATTTTGTTTGTTTTTTATCCTAGTTACCTTTTAATTATACTGAACTTGAACATCGTCGCCCAATTCGTATATTTTTTACTAATCCAGCCAAAAAAGATGAACAACGTGAAGTACAACTTTATGTAAAAAAATCTTCGACTGTTGCTGAATTTCTTGATGAAGTTAAACAATGGATTCCTAGTGTTTGTTCCGAGAATGGTAGTCAACAATTAAGGTAAATTATCAATTAAAATAAAAGCCATTGTTTTTGGTTTTTAATTAAGTCAGAAATTTAAAGATATAACTGTAAATAGCTCTTATTTAAGTTTCTTCATTACGAATGAAACTAGTACATTTAATCTGCGAACGACTTCTTGAATTCTCTTGAAATTTAATGATACGATACCAAGGGGGAAAAAGCGAGACTTCATCTACTTCAAAAAAAATTTGAAGTACGATTGAAGTACAGTGAAGTACGGTGAAGTACGGTGAAGTACGAGTGAAGTACGGTGAAGTACGTGAAGTATGAAGTCTCGCTTTTTCCCCCTTGTACGATACGTACTAGTAGAATAAAGTTTGACTCTTTAGAAATGTCTTACAAGGAAAGGTCTCCAAGGGTGACTTGTTAATTGAACTCATATTTTGTTCATCGATAGGATTTGTCCCAAGTTATGACAGTTTTATCGAACTTGTTATCTTTACCGAAGCATTTGTGAAAAATTCGAATTATGAAATTTCAATCTGAAATTTTGCCCATAGACAGATATATGATTATTTTGGATGTTCAATATCTCAAGAAGAGCACATCCTTTCGGGCTGAAATTTTCAGGTTGAAATTCCGTACTACGATTTTCTAACAAATACGTCACCAAATATAAGAAGTTCAATAGAATTGTAATAGCTTGGGACGAATCCTTATAGGCATCTAGTACTTCATCGGAGTCTACTTATGGACAAAATATCAGTTCAATTAGCGAGTCACACTTGAGAACTTTTACTCCTTAGAGACATACATATAATGAAATATGCTAGTAACATTAAATTCAATGGTGGTATGTTCAAAAGTATAAGAAAAAAACAATGAAATGGAATAATTACAATACTCCAAATGTCAGAACTCAAATTATAAAAAAACAAAATATTATTTTTTCTTTAGATTAATTGAAGTAACATTATCAAGTCAAATAAATTCTCTTCCATTTCATCTTAATATATGGTCAAATCGATCATGTATGGATGAACTTGAAAATTGTTCAAATCGATATTATCATTTAGAAGAAATATCTAATGATGAAATTGATCTTGAAAAAGATAGTGAATTAATACCTGTTGCACATTATACTAAAGTAATTAGATTTTTATTTTTCTATCTTATTTATATCAAAATAAATAATTTAAAAAATTTATTTAGGAAAATATTATTCAAATAAATATTCAAAAATTTTTTCCATTTCTACTTAAAGTGATACATGTAAGATCAATATATATTTTCTATTTAATTTTAAAAAAAAAGTTATACTAAAATTTATTTTGTAGAATGAATCATTTGGTGATGTTAAACAGCGATTACAAACAAAAATGGGTCTTGTTAATAGAGAATTTGAAAAAGTTTGTTCTTTCATCATTTATCATTTTGTGCAATCTATGGTTTTCAGTAATCGAAAGAGGAGAACTCCAGATATATTTTTGTTTGATATTATATAAGACAATTATTTTAAAACTCATTTGACTTACAAAATTTAAAAAAAATGAATCAAAATGATATTCCGTTTGGATGCAATTTTGATTATGATATGTGCTTCAGGTAGAGGGATTCCAGATCTATCATTCAAGGCATAATTCAAGTGATTATTTTCTCACATATCAACATGGAGCAAATAAATCATAAATCTTTTCGATCGAATTCTGTTGATTTTTAACAAATTTCCTTGTCTTCATACAGTTTTTGAATATTTCGCAAGTACAATGATTTTTAGAATCATTATGACTTATATAGTATCAAAGAAAAAAGGCTCCTGGAGTCTCTATAATAGACACCTCCATATATTGGACAATTTTGAAAAGTCCAAAGGGTGTTCACTATAGGGAAATTATCCTGTAGTTAAAATTTCGTAAATCGAATTTCAAAAGATGTCTTCTCATTCTATTACTCTTTACAGAATGTGACAGACATGACTGTTATATGATCCTAGATTGCAACAGATATCTAACAATGCCCTTGTTCATCACAACATGTGATAGACTTAATGACGGAACTAAAGTCTTCTGTAGGATTAATATCAAAAGAAGATTGTATTTAAGATACTTGTCTTTGGCCGCCTTTCTAAATTCACTGTAATATATTAGTACATGAGAAATCTCAATCTGAAGCATATGTTGAAGAATTCCTTGGTTTGCAATATATACATAGATCAGTCGTGTTTCACATTTTGATCTCGTAGGAATTGCACTAACAGTTTTTATTTTTTAGTATCGATTTTCGATATTTAATGGTAGTAAAGTAATATCACGATGCGATGATAATATGGGAAAGATTAATGTAAATGAACTAAAATTAGTACAAAGTAAAAATTGATTTAATCGTTCTTTCTTTTTTTTTATATAACCTATCATGTAAATTTTAGGTATATGTTGGCTTGGTTTAGAATTACCATCGATATCAAATCCACGCAAGACTCGAAAATCACTTTTTTCAGAAAAACCGATTCGAATAAACTAGTCGTGTATAATTAATTGTCACTTTATGTTCTTTTTTAGACACATTACTTCTTCTTGATATAGTTCAACAAATGGCAACTTTTTTTCTTTTCTTTTTCTAAAATGTGTTTCTGTCGATTGACAAAATTTTTTTTTTTTTGTTATTCTTCTGTCTCTCTTTCTATTTATAAAACAGCGAATACTCTCATTATTTCTGTTTCTTCTTTTGCCATTGTGCATATCAATGTATAAATCATATATGAGATGCAAACATGAAAAAAGATATTCTTCTTCTTTTTTTTCCTGGACACATACATAAGGGACTTTGACTAAATCGTAATGCGTTTCACGTCTGTTTTTTTTCTTCTTTTGGTTTTGTGATTTTTCTTTACTTTATGTATATGTATGTGTATGTGTGTGGTTCGATCATATTTTGTTGTCTATATAAAACATAATGAAAGGATATTAGTCCTATTAATAGAAGATTAAGAAATAAAAAAAAAAACAGAGAGACTTTGAATGGTCATCTCTATGGAATGGTATTATGATTGTTTGGACCACGGTTTATTTGTATCGAGTATATGAGCCATAGATGATAAAGCATCTGATCGATCACTATAAGGTTCACTATGTGTTGACGTCAATGGTAGATTGAATGTTATACCATTTGGAATATTTTCATTTGCATTATCATTATCATTATCATCAGATTCTTCATCTAAACCAAGTAAAAAATGTACATGATTTTTTCCAGTTGTTAGTTTAAGAAATGGTTCATTTTCATCTGAATTATTATTAGTATTATTTGATGGTTCACTAAGAATAATAGCTGGTGATGATATAAAACATTTTTTAAGTTTATTTTTTTCTTGATTAGTATGACCATTTATTTTAGTATTTTTTTCTTCAATTGTTGTATCCATTAAATTAACTGATTGTCGTCCAAGACTAACTGATGAAAATGTCGAACGAAGTCTTTGTGCTTTATTAACTAAATGTTGATGAACAATATGAGCTAAACGACGTTTTCGTACAGTAAATAAACCTTGTAAAACAATAAGTAATCCAATAATAATTGAATATTGTGTTAAAACAAATAGAAGACCATGTACTGAATGTTGTAAATAATCATGCATTACATCTTGACATACGAATAAATCTGGCATTTGTGTTGATATATTCGTTTGATAATAATAAATACATACAGAATATTTTTCTTTTGGATTTAATCGAAGTAATAATAATGAATTTGAAAAATATTCATCAGTACTTGATGGTGTAGTTTGTAAAACTAATTGTTCCATTTGAAGTACTTTTCCCGTATTTGTTTTATATTGTCGTATAGTAAAAAGAAAATATTTTAATGAATGTATTGATTGAATTGAACGTGTCAGTATAGAAAGCATAGTTGGAAATGGATTCATTTTATCATTATTATGTTTATCAGAAAATTTTTCTTCATTTGATAACTTTGCTATTGAAAATAGAGAAAATACTACACGAACAGTTTCTTTGTCAATAAATGTCCAATTTGCCGCATAGTGTGGTCCAGAATGAAATTCTTCTGTTGTATTATCAGATTCTTTGTTTAATTCCTTGGAATAATTATTATCAAAGTATGTTTCTTGTCGAATGGCATTAGTAACTTCATTTCCAGGTAAACTTGATGATGAATTATTTTGTGATGTTATGATTAATGAAGAGTTTGTATCAAGAATCTAATAAAGAATATAATTATTTTCTCTTTATTTTATTATTTATTCTTTTTTTCTTACTTCTTCAGAAGAATTTGTATTGAAATTGAGTATCGTTGTTATTGTTGTTGCAGTTGCTGTTGTTGTTACGATTCGTTCTACGACATTGGTTTCACTGAATGATGCGAACAGTAGAAATAATAAATATTTCATAAAAAACATCTTCAATATTTATATATCTATATATATCTATGTTGTATAATACAATGAATTCAAGATTTTATGTAACTTTTAGGTAAAAATAAATAAGTTTAAATCGTTCAAATTTAAAGTGATGGTTCACAGAACGATTTATTTATAACATATAGATTGGTTTATATCAAACGGACAACGAAAAAGAAATGAAAATGAAAGGACACAAGGATATATAACGAGTGGGATAGAACGAAATGAGCGAGAATGAATGCGCCCGTCGTGAGATACAATAAGAGAGAAGGAAAAGAAATACTTGATGCGAAGATGCACGCACTAAAACAATGATATGCTTTACGTGTCTCTTTCGGAATACAAAGAAGGACAAAGAGAAGCAACTAAGGATATCGAATGGTTCGATTTTCAAATATAACAAGGACGATACATCATCGATAGTAAATTGTCTGATCATTCGTGATTCATATTGTTCGATAAATTCTTTTCTAAATATGGTTTCAAATGAATTATGATTTCTATCGTACAAGATACATTTTGTGTGAAGTAATTTACAACAGTAGTATTCTACAGATAAAAAATAGAGCCAGTAATATATATATATATAAATAAGGTTATTAGACAACGAATGATGAAAATTATTTGATCTTTAGCATTCTAGTTTGCATAAATGTTTAGAAGAGCCTTTTTTTATTCATCAAGAGGCTAAAGAGGAATATCATCTTTATATGATATAAAAATCTTGCCGATAATTTTTTCTTAATTTATTTTTTGAAATGCTTTTTCATAATTCTGTAGTTAGTTATCCCGAGTCTATTTTCATGTTAAAATTTTCTCGAAAATAATAAAACTTTTAACAACAAGAAAAAACTTATTTGATTATATTTTCATTTGGTTTCATTATTCTTTCTTTTTCTTTTTTTTTACAATAAAAATTATCTGTCAGAACAAAAAAAAAATATCGTGATCCGCATAAATATATCGTATAAAAAAAGAATGTATTCTATGATGAAGTATAATCTATCATTCTTGATTTTTACATTTGAAATACGCGCGCCTATTCTAAATATAGACAAGTAACAAAAGATAAATAAAAATTATGAAGATATTTTTGTTGTTTTTCAAACCTCTTTTCTATAATATCTATATGAAATATGATGAAAAAATATTCATTATATAATAATAATGCATCATGGGATTTGACACAATCTCGAATATCAAATATTATTGAACAATCAAAATATTCTAATAATTATGAAGATGAATTATCAAATTCATCATATAATTCACAAATTTTAGATATGATTCGTTCGATTGTTGATGAATTATATCAAATAAATAATGAAGAAAATTTATCAAGAAATGAACCAAAAGAAAAACGTGTTCGTTTTACTCTTAAACACAAAACAGATAAAACTGAATCAATTATTTCAAATAAATCCGAATCAACTGAAACATCAATTAAAAATAATTTCGAAAAAGATAAATCATCAATTAAATCTCAACCACTTTTATCGGATTCTACAACAGTTATCTGTTGTTTAATTAAAGGTCGTTCAAAAGTTGATTGTAGTGTATCAACAAATGATCTTCCTTCTCTTCAATGTGAATGTGCTACACAAACGATGAATATGACAGTTTTTCCAGAATGTAAACATTCATTAATGACATTATTAACAGTCAATGATGATCAAGCAAGTATTGATCTTCATCGATCGAGAAGTCATATCACATTATCCACAACATCGATCTCTTCCAAGTAAAAATATTCTTTAAATTTTTGGATAAATAAATGATAGTTTTACTAAGATTTGATGATAAGTTAGATTTAAATCATAGTGTCTCAATCATTTCCACTTCCATAAGTATCGAGATTTCTATCTTTGATACTTCAAAAGTATATAATATTATCTGAGGTCTTTTTGGATAGTTTTATTCGAGTTTTTCGTATATAAAATGAGGATAAATTTTATCAAATCTCAAAAATAGTGTCCTGCATGGATATGACTTTTCGCAACCGGATCCGATCGAAGCTAATCAGCATTTGGCAGATACTTTCACAGCGACTATACGGTATTCAAATTTTTATTTTATATGAAAAAGTATATTATTCACTTTCTTCCATAAACAGTAACAAAAGAAAAAAAAACCAAGTCATTCAGTATTCACTTGATGTCTTTCTGCCTGTAAAATTCGATTAGTTTCGACAAGTATACGTTTGCTTGTTGTCAATGATGCTGGAATGGAACACAGAGTCAGTACTAAACGTCATCATTGCGGATACATACATGAATACTTTTCCATCACGATAATACATGTTTACCTTTTTCAGAATTCATTTTCGTCTCCATGCATTCAGTTACTTCATCATATAGTTCATCATTAACTATAGATGAATTTTCATTAGTAATGAATTCTTTTGTAAAAACAAAAATATCGCTTTTCATTTTAGTAAAAATATTTCGAAACGTCGAGATCTCATTCATTATTGGGTCTGGCTATGAGATCATACGTGGGACTCGAGCCGACACGGGGAGAGGAGAGTGCACTCGAATTCATGCTCTATATCAAGTACTCGATCGGGTTGCAGGACACTACTCGGAAATATCGATGCTGACACATGATGAATTTCTTTTCGAAAACTTGTCATCGAATATATTTTCATCATAATACAAAAGCAATTTTACGATTTTCTAAACCTATAAAAATTTTTAAATTTCAATATCTTCTATAACTATTTAACATACAAGAACTATCTTCTAATTTCGATTATTTACAGACTGACAACCAATCATCATTCTTCTTCATTTTCAACAACAAATCATACAACATGTGTAAATTCATCACTTTATTCTTGTGAAAATAATAATATAGTATCATCATTAAGTACAGCTCATCAATTAATAATTCCAACTCAAGCAAAACATTATGATATATGTCAAGAACAAATATTAGATAATTATAATACATTGATTAATTCTAATATTAATATTTTCAATTCATCATCCAAATTAAAAGACAGAACTAAATTAGATAATTATGATATACTATCGAAATCTAATAGAAAATTTTCAAATGAAAATATAACTGAAACAAATATTAAACTTTGTACATGTTCAAAACGAAAACTATCTGATATTCATATTTCTATGTTAAAATTTGCTCTTTCTAATCAAGATAAATTACTTAAAGAACTTCATTTATCAAAACGATCTCTTCAATCAATGTATAATGATGGTCTCTACTACGTTCATGATCTTGTATTAGTTTTTATAAGAAATATTTCTCAATTTTATCAAATTCTTTTAAAACATTATTATTTATCAAAAAAACAAGCCAATTTATTTGTAAAAATCATGAATAAATGGTGGAAAAAGCATCAAACAAAATTTATTGATATAAATGAAAAATCATTAAAAAGTAATATTATCAAATGATCAATTTAGATAATCAAATTTTTGCTGTATACTTTCTAAATCACATAATTCCGGTGCTATTTCATTAGCTATTATTAATAGAAGATAATGAATTGTTTCAATGAACGTTGGATATATGTAAATGAATAATCATTCTTATATTGAAAAGAAACTCAGAATGATCACATTGATAAAAGCGAATATGGCTGAGAATGTGCTCATTATAAACACAAATCACGACACAATTTTGTTGTCTCTGAAATCTTTTTTCTCGAGTTCTACATCCAAATGATGGATTTGATAATTTTGATTATCTATTCATATCCTATTTGAATACATGCGCGTGGATAAAATAAAAGCCTAGATCAATACTCACCCTCTCGATAGAACAGATGCTCTACTTCCAGAATATATACAACTTGCCAGCACACTTTTCTTTTTATCTTTTCTAAAAACAATTTAATTTTTTTCTGAAGTCACTGAAGAAATGTCCTTACTTTTCAATCAAGATTTTTTTCAGTAAGTTAAGGAACCAAAACAAAATCTGTTGTTTCATTTAACTGGTCATGACCTAACATATACTCTACATTGTTCAAATCGCCAAAAATCTCATGTTCATTTTTCCATCCAATATTCACATTATTGTCCATCTGTATCATGTTTCTCTAAACTATGAAAGAAATATTTTCTTATGTAGCTACGAAAATGGATTGCTAGTCAAGATGTATTATCATCCGAGCAAAATTTCTTAAGACTTGATCAAACAATATGGATGGATATTCTGTCTTTATTATTATCAATTGACTAGGACAAGGTTTAATAAAGAAAACAGCAGTTGTTGCTCTCTTCGTCGATATTCAGTCAAACTGGGATACAAAAAAGAATTATCATGAAAATTAAAATTCTTACGATGTACATAACATCTAGTTACATGATTCTGACTTTATCGATCTGGTCGAAGTTGCCTTGATCCAATGCTTTGTATACTATATTGTCATCACATTCTCGAAGTATTAACAACTATTTATTAGTAGTTGATTTGCTGATATTCTTTTCATCTTCATTTATGATATTCTCTTCAGAAATTATCAGATAAATAATGTTCTTGCTCACTGAACAAAAATATTCAATTACTTGAAAACAACTGATAAAATTTTTAAAACAAAACCCATATTATTCATCATATCAACATTCATTATATTCATATTTTAATAAAGAAGAAAAAAAAAACCAATTCGAAGCAATGTTTTGACAAGCATTTAGAACATTATATATATTTAGTTTAATGCAAAGAAAAAAAACTTGAAAATGAAAAATATTTTTAAGTATCAATCAATTTCCAGATTAGTTAATACACATGAAGATAAACTGATCAATACAATACTTAAGACAAATCCAAATATAATTGAAGACTTTTTACAGTATAGTTTTATACTTATAAGAATATTTCTCTCGAATTGATTAATCTCAAAAGAGAGTATTCATAAATATATCTATACAAAAACTTCTGTACGATAGCACATCTTCATTTTTCTTTTTTGATCAGATGCTGTGTTTTCAATAATGAAAGTTTGGTTTGATTATATTATCTGGTTACTTTCTCTATTAATATTAGATTTTTTGTTATAAACACTTGAATTTGTTTTTTCTTTTTTTTTTTATTTGTTACAGGCGCGACATTTATTGATAACTAGTGCTTTTTCATTTATTTGCACTTAAACAAAACTTTACACTACTATTGTGAATCAGTCGTTTTTGTCATTTGTAATGGTGTTGGTGGACTTGATGAATCTTCCATTGTTGTTAATGTTAAAGCTTTTTTTCTTCGTGATTCATGAACAAGTAACATTTGTTTAATATCATGTATAGTTGTTGATTTCATTAATTTTTGATTTGATAATTGACGAGATATATTTGATGAATGTGTTGTTGAATTTAATGATGAATTATTTAAACGATGTTCTTCATCTTGATCAACATAAACCGTTGAACGTACAAACCAATGTGGTAATGGTTTAGGTTCATATGGTATTTTTTTATTAGTTAATTTCATTTTTGTTGTTAATGGTTGTGTTGCAACTTCAGCTATTGATTGTATTGATTTTGTTGATTTTTTACCTGGTTTTCCAGGACCACGTGATGATGATATAATTGAATCTGTTGTATTACTTGTTTCATCAATATCCATTTGTGAATAATGATCATCATCATCTTTTTCAATAATTATTTGTATATCATGATTTAATGTTGCTGTACGATCAAATACAGTTGATGCTTGTGAACGATGTGTATTTGTTGATATTATTTCTTTATTAATATGATGATTTAATGTTGATAAATTTCCATTTTGTTGAAAAATATCTTGATCAGATGAAGTTTTCATCTGTTGATCATTTGTCATTATGTCATCAATACGTTCAAGTATTTCAAATAATGGTTTCATTTGTTCATTAAATAAACTCATATTAGCTGTTTGTCTATTTGCTGTTGTTGTTGTTTCTTTTGTTTCAATATCTTCATGTACATTACCACCACATATTAAACATATTAATGTATCTTGTGTTGAATCATATAATTTTTTAATATCTAATTCAGTATATTCTTTTGAACATTGTTCACATTTATAATTTGATTGTTTATATGTTTGTTGTCGTTCTAAATTCTCAACATAAGTTTGCATATTAACTAAACGATATTTAACAACATTAATAAATGTTGTTGTATCAATTTTATAATAATATTGATCTTGATTACGTCGGCCAGTTGTACTATCATTTGATTCAAGACGATGATCTTCGATTATAAATTTATCACGTTTAAATTCTTGAATATATGAACGAACTTGTTTAGGATCTAAAAATAGACGATCAGCTAAATCTTGTTGTTTTATTCGTTCATGATGATAAATATATTCAATAACAAGAGATTTTGGAATATCATAAAATGTACGCATTATAAAACGTATTAAGGCTTTGAGTATTGCTCGTGGTTCGTTAGTATCATAAGTTGGAAGAGGTATTTCATTTGATGAAGATGTTATGGAATTTGTAGTTGAAGGATTTATTTGTGGATTAGATCGGGTTGGTTGTTGAGGAAGAGAAGGATTAAGATTTGTAAATGAACCACCACCAGCTGATATCGACGACATGTCGTTTTTTATTGAATTTAAATCGGCAAAGACCATAATCGAGAAAAGGAATATATGGGTGAATCTAGGATTGATAAACAAAATAATAATTATTTATATTTCGAAATTGTCTATTATTACGAGAAAAACTCTTAGCTTTATTTCTTCATTAGAAAAATAAATTAAGATTTATAATCAAAGACATCTCTTACTTATTGAATATATCTTGCAAGCTATTAGTGTAATCCATATGGGATTAAAATGAGAAACATGATGTAGCTGCTGTTGCTAATCATAAGAAGATTTTTTTTTTATTCTATCTAGTTTAGGACACATTTCTTCACTATATTTTTACTTAATCTTACAGAAATGCAATAAGGAAGTAATATCCGATCTTTGATCCATATTCAACAATATTGGTCACGATCTGTGGGAAGTGGATCTAAATTTTTATCCCTATGTGCTTCAACATTCCTTTTAGATCGTGTTTTATAAAACATTAAAATTTCCTGCATAGATATCTGCTATTCAGAAATATTCAATGTTATCATTGAGAAAATTTCGATTTCTTTAATGTTATTAAAAGAAAAAGACTTAAAGAAGATCTATAAAGCTAGTTCTCCATATCTGACTTCAAAATACTAATGATTAGACTTGAATTAAAATGAAATTTTTTTCGTGGAACACAATCTAAAAGGAGTGTTGAAGTATAGAAGTAACAATTTAGACCCGCTCTCTCACAGACCGTGACAAGGGTTGTTGATATACGATCAAAGACCGTATATCAATAACGTCTCATAATGACTTCTTTAATGCATTTCTAGAGAATCAAGGAAAAGAATGGTGAAAAAGAACTCTGTTCCAATATAGATGGAATAAAGTAATCTCCGTGTGATGAGCAATAGCAGCTACATCATAATTCAGATTTTGAAATCGTAGGGATTCCAATAACAGCTTTTTTTTCAAATTTTTAATTGTAACATTCTCTTACTTATTTTAGACAATGAAAAAAATTCTTTCTTTGAATTTCTGTTACGATGAATGTTCAATTTGAAAAGAATATACAAATTTGTCTAAAGAAATGATAGCATTTTCAATGGAAATAGTCTGCATTTTTAATGAAAGAAAACAAACGTATCATCCTCGAGATTCTCAATTTTCAAATAAATTGAATTATTGTATTTTTCTGTGATAAGCTGCTGTTTTTCTTTTTTGAAATTTTCAAATGATTATTAGCTTTATCTATAGGTAACAAAATCCTTCATTTTAATATTTTCAGAAATACCTTGCTCTTACTAAAACGGTCATAAACCTAGCCTTTTCTTAGGCTCATAGAAATCTACCCGTAATCATATTATCCAATTGAACGGTATACGACACTGGCGGATACTCCCTCCTAAATTTTATATATATAAATCATTTAAATACAAATGTCTTTTATTTTAGCATTCATCAAAATTATTGTACAAGTAGAATTTATTAAGTTTTCAGAATACATAATAAAAGCTAGAAGCAATTTATTAATATACATGCTCGTAGTATCATCAATATACACAAAGTCTTTTGTTCATAAGTGTAACGATTATTCTAAGATTTAGATAATAAACTCATAGATACATAGAGAATTATACAGAATGATATTTTGCTATTATAAATCGATATGAAGCCAAAAAGAAACAACTTTAAAAGGACTATAATATAAAAATAATAACTTTGTAAGTAAAATATGAATATAGTCTTTGAGTGTTAACTCAAAGAATAATAATTTCGATATTTATTAAATAACATTGACTATCGTTTATAATGGTCAGTAAAATAGATAAAATGGTCAATAAATAAAACAATTTAGAAAACTGTTAGGCCCATTCGGGCATAGATCCCCTCAACTACTTAAAAAAAAAATTTAGAAATCAGTAAATAAAATTGATTATTTATTCATTAAATCGAAAGATAAATTTAACAATGGAAATGGTCGAATTTAAATAGGAAAGAATGATTCAACTTGGAAAAAAAATATAAAACTTCATATCTATGTAAAATGTAATTCTCACATTAATGTAACAGAGCAAATGTTAATAACGCATAAAGCAGTTGATATTTTTTTTTTACAGAAGCTAAACCACTATATATACATACAAATAAGGGGAAAATTCATAAAAAAAAAAGGAATATTCCAAAGACGATAACGAACGAAAGAAGAAAAAAAAATCACCTGTGCAATACTCACAAGAGAAAAAGCCACAAAACAAAAGAAAGGAAGCAGTAAGGTTATTTGATACTTGGTATATGAAAATGGAGAATGATTCACGTTGGAAGAAAAAAAATTCCTTTGTTAATATAATAATTCAGTTTTTATTGCCATTTTTTTTTTCAATAGTTCTTTGAATTCCTATTGAATATTCTTCTAGGCATCTACTTCCGAAGGAAAATTTTCAACTGATCAATCATGCTGATTTTGAATATGACTATAAGAAATTCCCTTAAGTCTTTATATATTGGATTTCAAGAACAAAAAAATATTTTAGCTAAAATCGTTTTTGATCTACTCAAATTGTAGAGCATATCGAGTTGTCTCTGAGACGTTAATCTTTTCTATTTTCGAAAAATGAATTTTAAGTAAAATAATATCATTTTCATATTGAAATGTTGATACATGTGTCTGTTGTAGGAATTAAAATGGCTATAGTTGCAGCAAAAAAAAACGATAGAGTCAGGTCGATCGAACGTATTAGGCTCAAGAAACTGAAATGTTTCTAAACTTTTTTTTTCATGAAAATATTAGTTTGAGAAAAACGCGAAATAATAGTCAGTTTTCACTAATCTGATCTCTTCTCGAATTTTTAACGTTTCAACATAATTTTTTCGATCCGAAAATATACTCAGTACATTGATACTACTTCTGATGCAAAGAAACCAAAATTTTTGGATCACGGAAGAGCGAAAACACGCTTATAGTAAATTATACTATACACTTATGAATTTTTTTTTTTTCGCTGATAAAATCTGTATATTTTACTGATATAAATCATATTTTTCTACAGTCAATTACATATATAATAAACTGGTTATTTTATAAATTATTACTGATAATTTATGCACTGATTGATGAAGTGTTTTATTCAGCGCATAGGTGGCGTTCATGCAAAGATCGGGTTCGTCCTATCAGAAGAGAAAAATCTGGATAAAACACTGAACCGTTGAATATTCACACTGATCATTTTATGTATTTTACTGACCAAATATTTTGTTTACAATAATATGTTGTCTTTTCTATAATTAATCAATTAGAAAAAGAAAGAATCGTTGAGTCTATTTTTTTTCCTCAGAATTTAAAATCTCTAATAACTTTACTACTCATTAATGTCATCATATAATCGCAATCAAACTATTTTTGTTCTCTTTTCGGACATCATAGAAAATTCGCTAGGTCTTCCTCTACAATATTCATTTAACTATGATCGAAATCTAAATCACGATATTAAATTAGACCTGAACTTAAATATAATTCTTCAATAACAAATTGTTTTTATCGTACTCAGTCTGAAAATAATATAGATGAATTGATATAACAATGTAGTGGGTATTTTTGCTTGATAAAACATTGAAAGATTTAATGTTAATTATATTAATATTCCAATAACATAACGCAAAATACACACCGATAATCAATGTATTGGAGGAAATGAATGAAGCAATCAGTTAATTTATTTATATATTTATTCTTTTATCTACAAAAATAAAATTTTAGAATTTTTTTTTGTTTTTAGTTAAGATATTGAAGGAAATAGATAGTATCTTCTAGAGAGATAATAATTTTTATTTCAATATTTTGATGAAAAATGATTTTATTGGAAATTTTAGATTTTATTCTATTCCTATTTTCTACACTGACGCATAAACATATGACAAGAGTACAAGTCGATTTTTACTATTTATATACTTATTGGTGGAAGATAGATCGCAGTACTATCAATTAAATAATAGACATTGTTAGTAGTGTATAAAATAGTTTGAATTATTTAATTTTTTGAAAAAATCTTTTTTTATTGTAAACAATTAAAATAATTTTTT